AATCCTAAAAAAAAAAAAAGATCTATCCATGTGGGATCAAATTGACAACAGCAACTGGAGAGATCAAACAGGAACCTTTGGAGGCAGTGAGTTTGTGCTAAAGAGGGAAGAAAAACTCAGAAAAGAAGGGTGAGAACAGTTCCACAACTCAAAGAACGTAATCTAACTCAAAACTCACTCACTGCCGTCACGTCGGATCTGACTCATAGCGACCCCTCCTTGGGTTTCCGAGGCAGTATCACTATGGAAGTAGATTGCCCCATCTTCCGAGGAGTGACTGGTGGGTTTTGAACCACTAGCCTTCTGGTTAGCAGTCAGGTGCCTTAGGCACTATGTTACCAGATCCCCCAAGAACATAATCAGTGTCACTAAACGGTACATGCAGTAACTGCTGAAGTTATGCACGTTTCGCTGTGTACATTCTCAACAACAACAAAAACAAATTATTTTTTTTTGAGAAATGAGACTCCATCATATCCAGCCACTGTCTCTACCTGGCCCAAGCCACTGCCACCTCTTTTCTATTGCAAAAGCCACGCTTGTCCTGACCATCTATTCCTGACATGGCAGCCAGCACGATGTAGCCCAGGCATGTTCTGCTTCAGTTCCACACCCTCCAAGGGCTTCCAGTTTCACTCAGAGTAAAGGCCAAAGTCCTCATCAAGGCCTTCAAGGCCCGGCACAGTCTGCCTGCCCACCTCATTATCTTGCTGAGCTCATCTCTCTCCACCTCCTCATTCATTCCCTCCAGCCACACTGGCCTCCTCACAGTTCTGCGCACACGACAGAGCTCAGCTCCTGCCCTGTGGCTTTTGCGCTGGCTGTTCCATCTACCTGGAACACTCTTCCCCTAGGAATCTGCATGGCCCCTTCCCTCGCTTCTTTTGAGTCTTTGACCAAATGTCACCTCAGTAAGGCCCAAGCCAACCATTCCATTCAAAACTGCACTCTGCCCCAGTGTTCCCTATCCTCATTACCTGGTCCGACTCGATGACACATAACAACAACAATAACAATTTTACCTACGGGATTGATTACCGCCAACTCTATAATTTACTCATTTATGAGAAAGTTGCCTAACTCTTCTCATTATGATCCCTGGTGGTGCAGTGGTAGGGCGCTCTGTGCTAACCAAAAGGCTGGTGCTCAAACCCATCCAGCGGCTCCACAGGAAGAAGGGCTCCCGATCGACTTCCGTAAGGTTTACGGCCAGGAACAGTCTAGGGGACTGTTTTACTGTTGCATAGGTCACTATGAATCAGAATCAAACAATCCAATTAAAAAGTGGGCAGAAGACATGAATAGACACTTCACTAAGGAGGATTTTCAGGCGGCCAACAAACACATGAAGAAAGGCTCACAATCATTAGCCATTAGAGAGGCACAAATCAAAACAACAATGAGATACTATCTTGCCCCAGCACTAGCAGCAAAGTTCAACAAGTCAGAAAATAGCAAATGCTGGTGAGGATGTAGAGAGATTGGGACTCTCATACACTGCTGGTGGGACTGTAAAATGGTACAACCCCTGTGGAAAGCAGTATGGTGATTCCTTAAAAAGTTGGAATTAGAAATACCATTTGACCCAGCCATTCCATTATTAGGCATATATCCTAAAGAAGTGAGAGCCCCATCGTTGCATCTAGATGGTTGCTTGCAAGTTTTTAAGCAGCCATGTAGATGCAACAATGGGTCTCTCCTCGTCCAGGGCAAAGAATGAAGAAAACCAAAGATTCATGGAAACAATTAGTCCTAGCAACTGGTACACCATGCGATCCGCAGCTTATACGAGACCATAAGAACTAGATGGTGCCTGACTACCACTGTCAAACACTTGGAGGGGGATCTATGTAGGAGATCCTGGATAGAGAGGGAGAACAATGTGGAACAAAACTCAAAATCATTTGGGGAAAAAAAGGGGGGGACCAGGTTTCCTGGTCTGATAGAGCCTGATGGAACCACTGAGACTATGGCCCCCAGCTGCCCTTCAGGTCTGGAATTGAACCCATACCTGTGGTTTCCAGCCAAACAAAAGACAGGAGCTCAACATTTACCTGAGGTAGATACACTCCTTGGAGAAAACAATCATGGGAGAAGGAAGGGCTGTTTATGCACAGGGAGACAGCTCAGGGGGCAGGAGTGCATGGAGGGATGGACATAGGGAAGAAGTAACTATGGGGAGGAAGTGGGAGGGGAGCTGTTGCTTTGTGGGAAATTGTGATCAATGTCATGAGACAAAGTGTATGTGAACTGCTATAGGGAAAGTGAATTTGCTCTGTAAATTTTCACCCAAATCACAATTTAAAAAAAGAAGTGAAAGCCACGACAAGAAGCAACAAACACATGCACACCCATGTTCATCACAGCACTATTTACAATAGCCAAAAGATGGAAACGACCTAAGTGTCCATCAATTGAGGAATGGATAACCAAACTACAATACACATACACAATGGAATACTATGCAACCCTAAAGAATAACACAGAATCTGCATAACACCACATAACGTGGATGAACTTGGAGGACGTTACACTGAGTAAAATAAGTCAATCACAGAAGAACAAATATTGTATCAGTCCATTATTGTAAAAGTCAAGGAAAGGTTTAGATATGGAAGGAAATTTTCTTTGTTGGTTACCAGGGGTGGGAGGGGAGGGGAGGGAACACTGTCAGATAGGTAGAGATAAGTATCGATTTGGGTGAAAAGGGCCATGTCCCAAACGTGAGTGATCAATATGGTGGCACTGAGGAAGGGAAAGACATAGGGAGGTGCAGACAACAAAGATGAACCCTTTTGCACATACAGTACTCCATTGTCAGTGAAGGCAAACATGGGTATACAGATGGATAGATGGGTGGACAGGGTGAACTATTAAGTATGTCTATGAAGCAGGGAGTGTACCCAAGACTATGTATAGGGTTGGCAGACAATGGTCCTATAAGTGTATTTGTATGATCTGTAAGAATTCCCAAGTGTATAGTAGAGCTAACAAGAGACAAGGTTGTAGTCACTTCTTGGGCACAGCTAGCTACCCAGAGAGACAAAGTAGCTGAACCTGTGGGCTCGGACCATAGTCACAGGGGGCATCAAGCTCAAATGGCATAACATACTACACAAAACATTGTTCTACCTCCTACTTTGGCAAGTGGCGACTGGGATCTTAAAAGCTTGCAAGCAGCCATCTAGATGCAACGACGGGTCTTTCCTTGTCCAGAGCAAAGAAGAATGAAAAAAACCAAAGAT